GGTAATTGATAAATTGACAGCTGCCTGGGATGGAAAATAGAGGAAATTTTTCACTCTCTATGGAACATTATATATCTTAAATATTAAGACACTTATATCTTATAATTATTCCCATTATAAGTTTTCTCAATTAATTCCAATTCTATATAGGGGGAGTTCCCTTAACGCCGGACGGCGCCTAATATCGGCAATAATTGAAACGCTACGCAGCCGTTATTCCGCGTATCTCCTAGAGGAGACAAAAGGAACAAAAATAAGTTTTCTACGCGTTTCAGTCGCGTGTGCACAGGTAAAGAGATTTATTTAAGAAAAACCTTAAGCGTCCGGCGCTAGGGGAACTCCCCCCACGTTAATCGATGTAAATTTTTACTCTCTATGAAAAAATATTGAGATACTTATATCTGAAAATTATTTCAATTGTAAGTTTTCTCAATTATCTTTACTTCATACACGCACACATGGAAATACTTTGCATCTGAGAAGTACAACCGCGCCTTTTTCTCGAATAAAACACTGTGCTTCCAAGTACATACATTAATCGATGCAATTGTTTACTCTCTATAAGAAAGTATCTCGAGACACTTATATCTAAAAATTATTATTTTGAAAATTATTTCAATCGTAACTTACCTCAATTATTTCTACGTTAAACACGCACGCACAGAAATCCTTCAGACGTTACGCCGACAACTCCAATCATTTATTGAAATCTTTGAAAAACGAATTGATTTGCGCAAACTTTGAAATAACATTCCGTCATTTCCAGGAAAACGAAGAGACCCTTAGATCTGGAAACTTTGTCATTCGCATTAATATTTTATCGATTGGATAAGTTTAATGATGCCGGGTAAGTTCACCGGTGCGTTCAAGTAGTCGAAACGAATTACCAATTCAAATAACAGATTCCCCGTCCTCGAAAAGCGTAAAACTAGATCTTTTTCAGTTGGTCCAGGTTCTGCCTATATACCAGAAAATTTCCAATTCCTGGCCTGATTTAATCAGATGGACAGATCAGATGTATAAAGCAAACGGTGGAATGTATGCTGTTTGCATTTCATTTAATGTCCTCTGCGCTAGAATTCAACCTTTCGGATGCTTTTCACATTCCAAGAAATTCTATAAATCGCAGGGCACTTCAATTTTCTTACGATTAATCCACACGTAAACCCTTCTTTATTACGCTCGGTATAATTTCCAAGTTTTCGCCTATTTTTGCAATTTCCAATTTTTCTAACAGCGAATCGATAAATATGTGCGAGGACGTGCAGGGTAAAAAATTGTCGCATCGTTGGAATGAAAATTAAAACGACGGTTCAGGTTGAATTTTTTGAAATTCAAATCGAAATTAATTAGAGTTCCAATTAAAAGTTATAAAATTAATTTTGAAATTTTACAATGAAATTCAACGTTCGAGCTGGAATTTTCGTTGGGAAATAGGATACAGGTAGAAACAGACACAGATACGTTAATAATACATTAGGTCATCCCATCGTTTCGTGTCGAATTTGATAATTTAGATCAGTTTTCAACAGACCTTTAAATCTGATTTAAAAAAAAAGTGACTTCTCATTCCACAACCTTTTCCTTTTTTTTTTTACAAGAGAATTACATCGTCGCTGTAGAATTTCCTTAGATTTTTATGAAAATATTTTTCATTTTCGTTTACATTGTATTACAAGGGAATATCGAAGTAAATGGTTTACAATGAAACTCGGTTGAAAATAAACATTTATAGGAGACTCTTAAACGCAATATTCTCCCGCTTCACGGCATATTTGCTCAACTTACCTGGTGTTTAAACACATTTTATCAGACCTATTACCATACATTTGCATTCATTAACAAACCTCTTAAATTATTTACCAGCGACAAAGTAGTCATTGACACAGCGCGAAAGCGTAAAAGATACGGGACCGTGTGCTTCCACGGAGAACATAAATTACGCTATTTCGCGAGAAAGTGTGCGAGAAGCACTCGGCTTGGTAGGCGTGTCAGTGTATTCCGGTGGGGCCAATATGTTTATCATAGCCTGAGAAGACGAGCCTCCAAAGGATAAAGGCCGTTATTCGATACACGTGCTATCACTTCGGAAACAGAAGCCATCTATTCGACATAAAGTGTTTTAAATCCTTTCAGAGATGTATAATGGTTATTTCAAGGAGTTTCGAAGATTTTGCGAAATTTGAGAATAACTTTGAGCAAAAATTCTTCATGAAAAATGAAGTTCTTTACTGGAAACTATCTAGTCTCTGGAGAATTTTGATAAATTTTGGAATTTCAAAAAAGTCCTGTAACATTAATCTATATGCGAATTTCATCAGAGTCCTGATCTTGGTACAACGTCCACTTTTCGGAGAAGTTAACAATACAGGGAAAAAACCTGACACACGACATTCTTTCCAAAGTTTCGAAAGAAATCATATCGAAGAACTTGGTCGTTTATCGTTGTAATTGCATTGAGGAAATTTTATTTAGACGATAACAGGTTGAATAGCGACTGCTAGTGCGAAGAAACCAAGGACATCATTGGTATTTAATTAATATTCAATTTTTCATTTCTCAGAGCATCCTTCGTTTCTATCGTTATCCAATAACGTAACGCGATATCAATATTTATTAATAAATAGAGTTTTTTATCGGACAAACTTTAAGTTACACAGAAATTTAACGAAGAAATTAATCTTTTTGACTCAGAATGACTTGCGATATGCTGTGAAAATTTTCTTCAAAGTTCATCCTTAATTTTCTGCCTTCTGCTGTATTCGATAGGTATGGTTCCAAGTGACGATTTTCCCTTTAAAAATCTAGTTAAATTCAATTTTTCCAAAAGGTTATTATTTTTCCATTGTCGCTACCGTATTTGCAAAACGTGACTCTCCATGTGTTTACCCGCGTTTCGTATTGCCTGCATTCATTACTGCGGTGTATTTTGCTTCAGAGTAACTAGGTGTGGAGTTTAGATTTCGTGTAGCGATAGAAAGGAAATTAAAATGATTCAAATCCAACGAGAATTTATAATACTTTTGAAAATAGTGGCTAAACACCTATAGGAGACATTAAAATATCAATATGACAGAAATGGAAACCGATACTTGAAGGAATAAATTGTTGCAATACTTCCGAAACAAAATTATGCAAAAGTTTATTGAATATCTTTCAAGAAGCATTTCATAAATTTTTGCTACTTCTTTGTAGCACCAATATCCTTATCTACGATCTACTTTGAAAATATTTATACGAATAAATATCCAGAATAAAAATAACAATAAATATTATCTCAATTTTTTTCACGATCTTTGCACAATGCAACAATTACAGTGATATACCATAATATTAGTGTGACACTTTAGTAACGTAAATTTGATCATTAAATAAACAAGCAAGGCAGAAGTGTTATTCGTAACGCGAAGTTTGAAAAGTAAACTCGGAGAAGGCCGATCCGTTCGATCGCGGCAACAAGATCACGATAGGAGAAAACGATCAGAGTTGTTGATCTACGTAAGCAGAGAATTTTATTCGATTTGAATAAATTATGAAAGAAGGTGTGGAGCTTAATGGACCAATCCGACCAGTTCGTTCGCCATCCAGCCTCCAATGGAGCTTCTCTATTTTCACGACAATTAGCATTCATTGCCTGTTTCCTTGAGATATGCAAGTTTATTCCATAAATCATTTTCCATTCAGCTGGTTATTTCGCGACCACGTATTGAAAGCGTGATTCAAGCTGTTTCGACTAAAGCTACCTTTCATTAAAGTACCGTGTTGCTTTCGATGAATAATTTCGAAACATTTCTAGAGTGAACCAAAATGAACGAAGACGTAATTTTTCAAAAAAAAAAAAAAAAAATTTTTGCACGTTGAAATTAACGCGATTAAAAGGGACACTACCTCGTTTCTACTTTCTAAAGGTGTGATCAAGCTATAGTCATATTTTATTCATTTATACGAGTGAACGAAACTCCTTTTCCTAGTAGATGAATTTTACAAAAGAATATTTGCTAAATTTCAAGTCGTAAATATTATTGTTACTTCGTGACTGTGTGACGTAATTGAGATTTAAATGCAGCTGCGGAATAAGATATTAAACGTATTCAATATTATTATTTAATAAATGTATTTTCTAATATTCCAGTAACAAACTGTGCAACAATAGAATGTTATTAAATGTATTAGTAGAAGCCCTATTATGATGCTTTGTTTTAGGCGAAACCTTGCCCACCTGTATACTTCTCTACGTTTACATAACGAGCGTTGTTTTCAATATTACGTTAAACATATTCGATACGCTAGATATATTAATCATATTTGATATACGATGTGAAACATGCGAAATATATTATTTCGCAGCTCGATTTAAATCCCAATTACGTCACACAGAACCAAGGTAACAGCAAAACTTCCTAACGACACAATATTATTAACAGACTGCGGATTTTTATGCAAATTCATATTTTCGTGAATACAATGAAAAAAAAAAAAAAAATAGAAGTTAGATAGGCAACTGTTTCATCCGCTAAATATCACGACGAGTACTATGTTTCACGATTATTTATATATTTTGCTAACTGTTAAATACACTTAACACACTTGCCGCAATATCGAAAACAACGCTCACCGTGTAAACACAGCGAATTAAACAGGCAGTACGTAGAGTTTCTCCTTCACACGACGTTAAATCGTCGAACAGCTTGATTCTCTGACTGTAACGACGAAACGACAGGGGAAATTGCTCGAGGCTGTTAATCTACGCAATACGGAATTCATTCAAATTAATTATGAAAGAAGGTGTGGAATCTAACCGACCAATCCAACCGGTCGGTTCATTCGTTCCCCGGACAACAGTAGAGCATTTCGATTATTGGCAGACCGGAGAACCGATTTGCTCTCTCAGTGATGGAACACCGTCTAGTCAAGGATTATCGTGCGCTGATCTTTCGATCCCTTCTCGATAAGAAGACGACACACGCCGTTTGAAATTCATCGTTCCCTTTTCACGTGTTTCCACGGATGGTTTGAACATTCCCGATTGATTTCAACACCAGAGTGAAGTTCGAGGTGTTCGACGACTCGAGGAGAGGGAATTCAGCGTGCGAGGTTTCGAGATTTTTTTTGCGGATTCGAGATGTCGATACCGAGTTTTCGTGACCAGTGGGACGTTCAAGCGTCGGATATCGCGAGGAGGACGCACAACCCCATAAGATCTATCGTGGAGAACCTCGTGGTAGAGCCTAATCCCGCTAAATCCATGATCTCCTTGTCAATCGGTAAGATTTCTTAGGTTAATTTGAATTTTAACTTGCTAGTTTTGCGGATCGAGTGTTTTCACCAGATGTTCCTATTGTTTCTTAATAATAACGTGGAACAGTAGTGTCTTTGTGCAGTCATCAAACAGTTTAATTTTAATTCTACCTTGTTGATTTTATGGATCAATTTTCACCAGATGTTCCTATTGTTTTTTAATAATAACGTGGAACGGTAGTGTCTTTGTGCAGTTGTAAAACTTGTCCATTGGTTCCTAGTATTTAATTTTACTGGTTAAATTCATGTGAATTTAAGACAATAAATATAGAGTTCTATAAATTTTGAGGAAACCAGTAAGTCGATACAAAATTTTATACAGAATTACAAGTTAAATCGTTGCAAATTTTTTCTGAAACCTGCACGATATCGTAAAGAAATTGCAATTATAAAATTATCACAGTAAAATTGCGTAATTCTGCAACCCCTATTTTACCACACTTATTTACATACTACAAGGTTGAATCAGGGGTTTATTTACATACTTATCATACATATTTACAATATGATTGTTAATGGTACCGAGAAATGCCATAAGGAAACTGATCAAGTGTTTTGACAGGATGTTTCTGTTTTTTTTTTTCTAAATAATAATAATACTGCACGGTAGTATTTCAGTGTGATCATAAAACTTGTCGATTAATTTCTGAGATAAACAGGTAGGCAAGATTTCACGTTAGAAAATCGAAATTTTCATTCGCAGAGTTGTAATTTTCTTAAAAATCAAGTCTTTTGAAATCGGTCAAGTCAGAAACTCACTTCTTCGTTTTCTGAGGTCCAAATGAACATCGTGACATAATTGCGATTCTCGAAGGCAAAATAACGGGAACCATTGCGATTCTTTAATTATTCAGGATTTTCACGAATGTCAGAGCATATACTTTGAAAAATTCACTCCACAAAATGATTAATGTGCGATATGTTTCGCTGAAAATGTACAACTTTCATAAATCAGAAATTATTTCCTGCCAAGTGTATGTCGTAAATAGGATTTTCAGATTCTAGTGGAATCTATAATTATTGCATGAAATCAATAAGAGTATACAGGGCGGGCCACGTGAAACAGGCCACCTAATTAACTTCTCCAGCTATGGTGGTACCAGAAAATTTGCAACGATTAGGTTAAAAATTTAAATGGTTTCAAAGGACGAATGAAATGCAGGGCAAACTCTTTTAATCGAAGAAATGGCAATCAAATTTTTACCAAATACACATTCACGAAAAAAAATCATAGTTTACCTTGAGAAAAGAAAAGGATGGAATTTACAAAGAAATTTTTCTTCCTTCTTGTTCATCTATTGAAATCATTTAAATTCTTTAGAAAAAGTTTCTCGTGCCGCCGTAGCTAAGCAGACGAGATAATTCGGTGGTCCACTCGGTATATTTAGATAGAAGAAGATTCATAACCGTTAATTAGTTATCATAGAAAGTCTGAAATACTTCACCGATTGATTTTCCACTTTAAGGTGACCCTACTACATTTGGCAACCTAAAGCTACCGAAACAAGTGATTGAAGCAGTTCAAGGAAGCCTCGTTTCGCAGTTGCACAATGGTTATGCACCCAGTACAGGTAACAGCGATAAATCAAATTTTCTTTTCAATAATAACAACAGTTTCACAATTTTTTCCCAGATGTGTAACTGTTTTTTAACGAAAACCGTAAATGGAACGAAAAATATATACTCCCAAAGCAAGACCAATTTCCCTAAGCTTAATTTACATCTAACTTCCTTTTCTATTTTCTTCCATTATTTTAGGTTACCAAATTGCAAAGGAAGCTGTGGCCGAGTACAGTTCCAGCGAATTCGTGAAAGTGGATGCGAAAGTAAGTATTCAACTCAATCAACCTGCAAATATTTCCTATTTTTGTATATCTCTTGCAATTTTGCGATGCAAAATAATGTCACTTGATTGCAATTCGCACGTGAAAGAACGAAAAGTAGCAGGAAGAAAATGATAGGGCGTGGGTAAGGAAAAGTGACTTCTGATTGAGAAGTTAATTTAATATCGAATTATAGTCGCCGTCCCGAATGAGCTGGAAATAAATATTTCGCTCGGCTGGTTGGATTTAATTGCAGCCTCTGCTAACGAGTGGCGTAAAATTCAGTAAATAGAGACTGTTAATAATATTTCAAACTGTAATATGCCACTTACGAGTCGACATATTATTTCAGTCCACCAATGACCTGACTTTTCTCTATCACACTGGTTAAATAACACCGGTTAAACGTATCCTTTTTTTCAAATTTATTTAGTTACACTAACTAACATTATCTCTTCTAAATTTATTTAAAATCTCACTTTATTGTTGTGAGGTCGAATTACAGATAAATCGAAAGCGATTATGCCTCGAAGACGGTCGGTGAGAAGGCGCAAATTTGACGTTAGTCAAATTTGACTCGGCCAGATCTCCCAAAGGAGAGGGGGGGATAGGTAGGTGAAATAGGTAAGAGTGAGAGAGGAGGGAAGAGAAACTATCGTCTGTAACCCGCGAAGGAGACGTCTGTTGTCTCTGTGAAGGTATTTTGGAGAATTGGGTTGAACCTAGAGGTGTCGCTATGATCCGCGAAGGAGCGTCTGCCTCTAGGAGGTGGATAGGTAGAGATGGTGAGGGTAGAGACAGGACAGGAAACCTGGTCCTGGAGTCTTCGTTCGCTCCTTACTGACTTTTGCAAGAGCAAGGAGTGTCGTCTATAGAGACGTCTGCTCGGTGTATGCTAGAGTAGCCTTAGTCGGCTTTCCGCAAGAACTCACTTTTCTGGTCAAAGGGTCATCTTTTATATGTTTTGGGGAAGCTTGACTCGACCAATCAGGGCGGGTCAAGCTCTTTCGGCGGCCGTCGGTCCGCTACCTGAGGCCACGGGGGGTCGAGCGAGTACGCAGCTCGTACTCGGTATGGCAGAATTTAAAAAAAAACAGTTACTCTACAAATTTAAATTCTCCATTGACGGGAAGGCAGATACCTGTCGATGTTGAAACTTCGACTGTTCTTCATTGTGAAATAGGTAAATTGCTGTTATCCTCGTTTATGGCTCCGTGAAAATGTTACCAGCACCCACGACAAGTTTACCGTAAAATGTAATTGCATTGTAATATCGTTCGATGAAAACCTCTATTTCACAAAATTGTTCGAGCAAATATAAGTATCTCATAAGCAAACACTTTGCAGTTTCGATTTCGTCTTTTCATCTCGGAAACGAATTTTTAGACACAAAGCAGTATTTCACTTTCATAAAATGCGTTATTTAATGCACTTGAAATATGAAATTCACCGTGCACTATGAAATACACGTTCGACAGTATGATATACTTTAGGAAATAATCCGTACGGAAATATCGAGTGAGATATTTTTTAACTTTTAAACGTCCGGGAAAGAAACATTTCGTTTTGAACAGGCGCAAAATCGTATAAAAATTCATTATTTTCGTTGAAAATTTTAATTAGAAACGAATGTTTCACCGTTGACCAAAGGATTAACCTTTCTTCTTTTTTCTTCACAATTCGTCTATCTGCAGCGTGATCTTTCTTACAAGTGCAAATATCGTTGTCAAAATTGTACAATAGAGAATGTAAAAATGGAATTAATATTTGGAATTAACACGTTCACTTGGACACAAAAGTTTGCAGAAACGAATGCAAATTTCAGCAAAAGCCTGGTTCGCTGTGGCAGTTACGAGGAAGTATTTTCAAAACGTTACTATCTCCGGGGTTTGTCTGGTTTTATGAAACTTGAGAGCAAAACAATTGTTACGGTCTACACACGTGATATGACTAAACGAACAAGTTGAAAAAAATCAAGGATAGAAAATGATGTAGTAGAGAAGGAAACGTATTTTGTTGTTTCATATTGTTATCGATCTGTAGGGAACTGTACTACTGAAAGCCATGTTGCATATAAATTAAATCCGGCTACACCTTGTTTTGCACAAGCAAATAAATTATACGTATTAATTACATTCGAAGTCTGATTAATCGCACGATTTTGGTGAATTATTTGGAGAGCATTTTAGGGAAGATTTTCACGTGAGTGTTCTTCGAATAGCGAGTTTAATATTGACTGTATGAAGAAAATATTGAGATATTCCAGAGCTGTATTTATTTATTTTTTTTTTTTTTCATTTTTGTTGTTTCGTCGTT